GCACCACCTCTCCCGCCACATGACCTCGCACAACTAGCGGCGGGGCGGCAGGGGGGAAGGGGGAGAGGGGACGGGCGGAAAAATTGGAGAGCAATGGAGAAAAGGAAGAGAACGGAGAGAATTTGAGAAGGGGAAAATGGAGAAAACGGAGGAAAAAAAAAAAAAAGAGAAAAAATTGAGAAAACGGTGAAAATGGAGAAAAGGAAAAGATTGAGAAAATTGGGGAAAAAACGGAGGAAAATGGAGAGAAAAGAAATTTGGGAGCATTTGAAAACACGGACTTGAAAAAAAAAAAAAAAAAAAGAGAGAGAGAAATGGACAAAAGTGAGAAAATGGACCAAAGGGATAGAGTTGAGAGAAGTGAGAAAACGGAGGAAAATGGGGAAAACGGGCAGGAATTGAGAAAATAGAGAAAAACAGAGAAAATGGAAAGAATGGAAAAAAATGGAGAAACACGGATAAAAGATCGGAAAAAAATGCAGAAAATTGATAAAATGGAAAAATGGAGAAAAATGGGAGAAAAGTGGAGAATATAAAGAAAAAGGAAATAACGAAGAAAAATGGACGTAAGTGACGAAGAAAGAAAAAATGAGAAAAAGACACCGAGGAAATGGAGGAAATGAGAGAATTTGAGGAAATTGGAAAAAAAAAAACAAAAAAAAACAGAAAAAAAGAAAAAAAAATGGAGAAAATGGAGAAAAAAGAAAAGAGAAAAATGGACTCCAAAGGCAAAAAGAGGACAAAGATTATAAAGAGAGAAAAAAGAAAAACGGCAAAAGAAGCGAAGAAGGGAAAAGAGAAAAGGCGGAAAAAAAAAAAGGGGAAAAAAAAAAAACGGGAAAAAAAAAAAAAAAAAAAAAAGGAAAGCAAATGACTTAAAGTACATTTTTTGAAATGTCATATATTGCAACATATTGATGCATTTGTCATACGTTTCTACTTAAATTATGAAGCACTTATGGTTTAGATGTAAGAATAATTCTATGTCAGGGTAAAGGTTTTATTTTAGATACGGAGCTCCGGGCGGGGCTGCGGCGGACGGCGGACGGCGGACGGCGGACGGGACCCCCACAACCCTCCCCCGTCCGGGGCTCCGAGCTCCGCGCTGGGGGCTCCGCGCTCCGTTCCCGCCCGCCCCGTCCCCGCCGCCCGCCCGCGTGTGACATGTGCCCGTGAATGATGGAGTCTCGGTAGTTTCGTGTTTCTTTTCATGCCCCCGCCCGACCCGGCCCGCCCAACCCCCCGAAAAGATTTATTAAACTTTATAGTCTATCTGGGTGCGCTGGGTGCTTTGACAATAAATGATTTATTTTCTGCAACGCAGCCGCAGTTACTCCGTGGGGCCGCGGGGACGGCCCCTCCGCGCCCCCCGCCTCGCTCCGCGCCCCTCCGCACCTCCGTCCCTTTCCCTTTTCTCCATTTCTCCCTTTCCTCTTTTGCCCTCCCTTCCCTCCTTCTTTTCTTCTTCCTTCTTCTTTCTTCCTTTCCTCCTTCTTTCTTTCCCTTTTATTTTCCTTTCCCTTTTCGGTCTTTTCTACTCTGTTCCCCCACTCCTTTTTCGCTTCCCTTTTCCCTTTCCCTTTTCCATCTTTCCCTTTCTCCTTTTTCCCTGATCTCCTTTTTCCTTCTTCCCGTTTTCCACTTTCTCCTTTTTCCTTTCCCTTTCTCCTTTTCCTTTTCCCTTTCTGTTTCCCCCTTTCCCATTTTCCCATTGTATTTTCCCCCTTCCTTTCTCCCTTCCCTTTCCCCAGACTTTTCTCTTTCAATTTCTCCCCCTTTTTTCCCCACTTTTCCCATTCCCTTTTCCCATTCAATTTTATTTCTTTTTCGCTTTTCCCATTGCCTTTTTCCATTCAATTTTCCTTCCCCCTCCCACTCCGCTTTTCGTATTCCATTTTCCCTCTCAATTTTCCTTTTCTTTCGCTTTTCCCACTCCTTTTTCCCACCCCATTATCCTTTTTTTTTTCGTTTTCCCCATTTCTTTTTCCCATTCATTTTTTTCCTTTTCCTTCCCACCTCCTTTCCCATTTTTTTCTCCTATTTCCTTTTCCCATTCCTTTTCCCCCTTTACCTATTCCCCCTTTACCTCTTCCATTTCTTTTCCCATTCCCTTCTTCCATTTTCTTCTCCCATTCCCTTTCCCCTTTACCTATTCCATTTGTTTATTTGTTTGTTTTTCCATTCCCCTTTCCTTTTTCAATTTTCCCTTCTCCCATTCCCCTTCCCCTCTCCCCCTTACCCCTCACCATACCCCATCCCCGACACAGTGCCACTCCCCGGCCGATGCCACCTGAAGCCCCGCAGCGCTCCTGGTCCCACGCACGGTTCGAGTGGCGCTGGGGCTCAGCCCCCGGGTGCGGCCTTGCCTGCGTCTTTGGGGGAAGAGAGGAGGCTGGGACCCACACAGTGCCCCTATCACCAGCCCCGAGAAGCACTGGTCCGTGGGGGCGAGTTCTGTATGGGGGGGGCATGAGTGAGATATGAACGCTGCCATAGAGCTCCCACGATCCTGAGGACAATATTGGGCACTGTGCATCCGGCGTGGGGAGCACCGTTTGCACCCCGTGTTCTGCAGCGCAGTGCTTTTGAGGCGCTGAGTACTCCTTTATTTATTTATTTCCCCCACTTTTCTCTTTTATTTTTCTTCCCCAGACTGCATTTTCTTTCTCCTTCTTTCTTTCTTCGCCTTCTTTTTTGTTTCTTCCCTTTTCTTCCCCCCTTTTCTTTTTCCTTTTTCCCCCTCCACACAGTCCACTCCATATTCCCATCACCTCCATCCTCCACTCCCCCTGCACAAAGTTGCACTAACCCCACTCCCTCTCATCCACCAGCGCAGCACTTTACAATGAAAACCTCCTCTCAAAGAGCTGTCCCCCAAACTTCCCCCCCCACCATACCCACACGCACACACCTGCACTTCATTACACTTTAATCACCACTTCATTGCATCCCAATGAGAGCAACTCCACCCAAACCGAGCGCGCTCCTATTGCTCGGGGGGAGGGGTGTGTTTAGGGCATAATCTGGGGGAAATTTGAGGGATTTTGAGGGATGGTGGAGGGATATTTTTGGGGGAGAATGGGGAGGGGGAGGTTAATGCTTTGGGCTCTGTTGGAGCCCGTGCACGGGTGCGCAGTGCCACCTAGCGGGGCGACGTTGGCTCAGCCCTGGGCATCCCCTGGAGCTCAGGTGGAGCTGCTCCTAGAGAGATTATAGGGGAGTGGACGGCTTTACTGGTGACGTGCAGCGCTCTCCACTTTATATGCTGTGTTTTGTTCTTGTGTCGTTTCCCCCCCTCCTCCCCCCGTCTTTTCTAGTTTCTCTGTTTTGTGGCCGAAATCGTAGAGCCTCACTTGCAGAGGGGACGATCCCTGCAGAGCTTCTATCAATCACGGTGATGCTCTGACAGCAGCTGGGAAATATGTCTAGTGTGCAACGGGGGCTCCTTTGCACCTTTAGGACTTCTGGAACGTTTATTTCCTTATGTAAGCACTTCTCTGGGTTTTGCTCGGGTCTTTGTCCTTGTTTGTGTCCATTGGGGTCATTGTGTCTCGTTGAAGTCCTGATGGTGGCATAGCTGTGGGGTGCACAGGCGCTCTTCAGTGCTCCCAGTGCATTGGGACCACCAGGGGTGGGGCTTATGAGAACTGGATGACCAAGAATGAGTTAGAGATGGACCCCTAGGGATGAGAGAGGCAAAGATAGAGCCCACAGATATGGAGTCCTCTTGGATGGGACAAGCAGGGACTGAGTCCATAAGGATCTTTCTGTCTACTGGCAGTTTGCTCTGTAACCAAGCCCTAAATAATTCAGGCAGCAGCAGCACTTCAGCTGCAGCCTTCAGAGGCCACTGTTGTGTATGTGTAAGGGCTGCAACTGCCACAGGCAATTAAATTGGATTATTGCAGGAAGTGGGCTATTAGGGTTTGTTATTTATTTAGAATCAAGCCGCCTTCTTCTATTTTTTTTCTTTTTTTTCTTTCTTTTTTTTTTTTTCCCCTCTCCCTGCTGCATGGACCTCGCAAGGGTAAATCATCCTCCAGGCCATGGATGCCCCGTGAGCATGCACCAATCCCCCACAGCCCCACATCCCATTGTGGATGAGAGGAACGAACGGGTCTCACTGGTCTGAGTGCTGCAATGGCAAAAAAGGAAGAGTCTTCTGAGCACCCCAACCCTCCTGCAGGTATGGCCTCTAAGTATAGGGGCAGTTCTACTTCTGTACATATAGAGATGGATGTAACATGCGTATTTGTGTGTCTGCCTGCTTATATATTTGTGCGTGTGTGTATATATATTTATGATTCTATTTATAGACACAAGTATATATAGAGATACGGATGCAGGACTATGCGTGCCACCCTCAAGCATGTGTTGTTCCCTCCTCTCCTCCCGTGATCTTCCTCTTCCTCACAGCTGAAGGTCACCTATGGTGCTTCCTGTGAATCTGACCCCTGGAACCAAACCCCCCCCCCCCCTCCCCCCGATGGCCCCGCAGTGGGATTTTCTGGTGCTGGTGGGCACACAGAAGGGTATGGGATGAATGAAGGGGAGGGTTTCTCCAGAGGCTCTGGGGGTGCAGAGGGAGGATAGGGGGTGGGGGAAAGGGGTGTGTGTCTGGGGAGACCATTGCCATGGGGTGTGGGACAGTGATGAAGCAGGAGTAGGGGTAAGAGGTGGGATGGCATTCGGGGCCACTGGGGATGAGGGATGCTGCCGCTGCCCCCCCCTTCCCCCCCGGCTCCGTGTTCAGCCCCGGGGCCCCACAAACGGGAGGGGTCGGCCCCGGCCCCTTCCCCGCAGCTGCTGGCTGTCATCTCCCGGCGAGGCTGCAACCCAATCTCTGCCGGCCCGGCGGCCCTGGGGGGGCCCCGCCGTAACCCGAGGCAGAGCCGCGCCCCGCACCGCCGGGAGCTGCTCGGCCCAGCACAGGTGCGGCCCCCCCGGGCTGCCAGCGGCGGGGGCGGCCCCCTCCCGCCGGTGCCGGGTGGCGGAGCGGGATGCCGAGCCCTCCTCCCGCCCTTCCTCCTCCTCCTTCTCCTCCTCCCGCCGGCGGCATGCGCCCGGCCTTCCTCTTCCTCCTCCTCCTCCTCGCCCTGCCCGCTCGCGGCCGGAGGGAGCGGCTGCCCGGCGGGGGACACTCCGCGCCTTCCTCCTCCTCGTCCTCCTCTCCCTCTTCCCTGACGGCGGCGGGCCCGGGCCGACGGCGGGGCCGGCTGTACTGCCGGGTGGGCATCGGCTTCCACCTGCAGCTGCACCCCGACGGCCGCGTGGACGGCGCGCACGCCGCCAGCCCGCTCAGTGAGTGCCGGGGCCGGGGCCCCTTCCTGCCCGCGTTTTGGAGGTCGGGGCCGTGGCAGCTGGCCACACGGAAGCAGAAAGGTTTCTCCGGTTGGGAGCTCTCTCTGTCCTAAACCGTCCTCTGAACCGCGGCTCCCGGGGCTGGGGTGGGGACAAACCTGCTTGAGAACAGGTGAGAAATTCGGGGGGGAAACGGGGCTTCCCGAATCTGCGATCTGTCGGCGCTGGCCCAAGCCGTGTGTAAGAGCATCCTCCGTCCCCAGCTTGTCCCCCGCGAGCTCGAGGAACCGGCTGGGAAATAAGGAGAGGAATAAACCAAACCCCACAGCCGCAGCGTCATGCCGCTTGCTGGGGACACAGGAGCAGCAGAGCCGCGCAGAGGCGGTTGCTGAGGAGCGGGGCCTTTTGCTGGAGAAATGCAGCCGTGAGATTTCTGCTTTATTTTTGTCACGCTGATGCAAAAAGAAATGTGATTTATTCTGAGCTTTCTGTCGTCCTAGGCGTTCTGGAAATCTTTGCTGTCTCTCAGGGGATCGTTGGAATCCGAGGAGTTTTCAGCAACAAATTTCTAGCTATGTCAAAGAAAGGAAAACTCCACGCAAGTGTGAGTATTCCCAGTGCGTACAGCACAGTACCGGCGCTGCAACAACTGTGTGCACACTGGTGTTTGGGGCATGTAGATGCCTGCCCTGTGTTGGTGATGCTGCAACACGAACGTTGGTGATGTACTGGGGCTACCCAAGCCCACAGGGCCATCGAGTGAGGTTCACACACTCTCAGTGCTGCTCTGCACTGAGTCCTATGGGGGCATGTCTCCTGGGGACGCCCAGAGGGTGAGTGCTTTGCTGTGTCTAAGCAGGGTGGGTCTGGGAGAGATATGATGGCTGTGTGTGGGGGAAATATGGAAAATGGGCAGAGCAGGAGTGGGCAAAACAAAGGCCTTTTAGTGTCTAAGGGAGGGTTATAAGGAGAAAGGGGGTAGACTCTTTAGCAGGGTGATAAGACAAGGGGAAATGGTTTCAAACTAAAAGAGAAAAATCTTAAATTGGACGTAAGAAGTTTTTTTACAGTATGGGTGTTGAGGCCCCCAGAGAGAGAGGTTGCCCAGAAAGGTGTTGGAAGCCCCTGGAGACATTGAAGGTCAGGCTGGAGGGGCTGTGGTTACCTGATGTAGCTGTTGGAGGTCCCTGCTCATTGCAGGGGAGTTGGACTGGATAATCTTTAAGGATCCCTTCCAATTCAAATCATTCTACGTTTCTATGAAAATGCAGCAAGAAACTCAGCCTCAGTCTGTGTGTCAAATCCATGTTGCAGGAGCATCCTTGGAGAGAGACATGGTGCCTTCCTCTGATGAAAGCCATCAATTTGTAGAAACTTGACCCAAACGCCTGAGGATGGCCAGGCTGATAACACCGATAATGCAAAGCCTGCATCTGTTATTCCTCCTGGCCTTGGCGGGATAAAGTTATTTCATGGCCCAATGCACAAAGCAAGCTCTGTGCCCGTCACTCACAGCCATGCTTTGATGCGGAGCCGCTGCGGTGCCACGGTGCTGCACTGTGGTACAGCCATGCCCGCAGGCCTGGAGCTGCTCTGAGAGTAGCTCTGTGGGTCTACATCTTTCCAGGAGCTTTGGTCAGCCCTAAACCTAGCAGCCGGGGTGCCATGTGGCAGAGAGAGGTGAGCAGGGAGGTGGAGATGCAGCACTTCAAGTGCACTAAAAAAAAAAAAATAAAAAAAAAAATAAAAAAAAAAAGTGGGGGGGGCAGGAAAGCACAAGGAAATCAGTGGGATGGTTTGTCTTCCAGGCAGAGGCTGAAAGATTTGATTCCAGGTGTTACACAGGGAAAAATCTGCTGGGAAAGTACATTGCAACACAATCCCAGTTCTGGGGAAGGATTTTCCTCTGGAGTCCCAGTTTGCACAGGGAGGTATTAGGAATGGTGGAGGTTTGCTGGGCTCCAGGATGTTCTCCATGCATCCCTCACCAGTTTCAGAGCAACAGTTTGGGAGAACAAGCACAGTGCTATGGGCAGGGGGTGTGGGTGGGGGCAGCTCCCCAGCTAATTTCTGGCTCTGCTTGTAGGCTCGCTTCACTGCTGAGTGCCAGTTCCGTGAGCGCTTCCAGGAGAACAGCTACAACACCTATGCCTCGGCCGTGCACCGTGGGCAGCGCTCCGGCCGCCAGTGGTACGTGGCCCTCAACAAGCGGGGCAAGGCCAAGAGGGGTTGCAGCCCTCGTGCCCGTCCCCAGCATGTCTCCACACACTTCTTGCCCCGCTTCCGGCAGCCCCCTCCATCCCAGCTGGCTTTCACCGTCGCCCGCCCTGAGAAGAAGCCACCACCCCCACCACCACCGCCGCCCAAGAAGATGGCCACGTCACGGCACAGCCCCGGTCCTGGCCGCTACCGGCTGAAGTTCCGCTTTGGGTAGTGGCTCCTCAGGACACTGAAGGGCTGCTGGGTAGGGTGATGCTGGGATGGACGTGGCAAGGACGTCTGTTGGCAGAGATGGGACCCACAGTTCAGCTGCTGATGGTATTTTGCTGTGGAATCTCCGTGGGACCGTGACACCTTCCCTCTCCTGTCTGGAGTTGGCTGAGCATTGCGTTGTCACAGTGCTATCGTGACAGTCCTCTGGGCTGAGCAAGCCATGGACCTCAGCGCTCCTCACATGTCTTCCATGTGTATTTGTATATATGAGCAACAAGATGTAGGACACACCAGAAGTTCACAAAAAATCTGGACTGTCTGAGGTCATACAGCTTCTCCTAAGTTTTCCCAGATGAGTCCCTCTGAGCCATCTCTCGTTGCATCCTGAGTTCGCCATGCTAACAGAACTCTGGCTGCTGCTGGGTGGACATCTTATGAACTCGATCTGAGAGATGTGATATCTTGTGTTAATTCTTAACATTGACAGAGACTGATTTCAGATTGCAGGCTTCCATGTTGGAGAGGAGGCCTGCAGGGCAAATGCAACCCAACACAGCCGTGATATCCATGAGGTACTCTGTGCTGTCACTGGCTTTAATTTTACAGACACATTATTTTGAGTAGAAGAGCTGCTATAAGAACTAATAGGAACAAAACAATGTCTAAATCATAAGAAGAAATCCCACACCACTGCCTCAATGAATGTGTGAAGTGGCATGAATGTGTTTATTTCTACCTAGGAGAACCACTGCTGTTCCTTGTAGGATGTGACTTCCCTCAATAAGTACCATGTGAGCACAGGAGCTGTGCAGAGCTTTATGTTGCGTTGAACATTAACATCAACTTTGATGCTTACAGAAGCCTTCATAATCCATTAGAGTGCTGGGTGAGAGAAAAACAGTATACAGCCAGAAGAGAGCTACAATGTTCACACTGCTCCTGTTTTGGTGTCTTCTAGGTCTGCTCCTGGCATGTGGCTGCCCCTGAGACATTTGACCAAGTTGTGACTGAGCATGCTGTTAAAGCTAAGCTTACTTCCTGGGCTTACTGATGTTAAGTTTCAATTAGTAGCATTAAGATAGCGCAATTCACAACATTCTTCTGGGTGACACCATTTTGACCAATTTCACAAAATGTTCTCTCAATTTTTGTCACGGTAACTGTTAGGAAAGTGTTACAAATAAATAGAGAATGGATCACGGGAAGGAGTTCTGGGTGATGGGAGCAGCCATTGGCTTTGGAGGCATGTCCAAAGAGAAAACAGACTGGTGTGCTGTGAAACACTGCAACTTAAGGGGAAATCATCAGTAAACTTTTTTCTTTTGGGTAAGATTCTAAGTTAGTATGAAGATCAAGCAAAGTAACACTGAAGTCATAACAGTAACTTATATTGTAGAACTATAGAATCATTTGAGTTGGGAAGGATCCTTAAAGGCTGTCTGTCTCAATTCCCCTGCAATGATTAGGGAACTTACAGTGATATCAGGTGCTCAAAACATCTCCAGCTTGAGTGTCTCCAGGGATGGGGCTTCCAACACCTCTCTGTGTAACCTGTGCTAGTGCCTCACCACCCTCTTTGTAAGTGACAACATGGGGCTCCTTTGTTGAGCCCAGGTAGATTTCACCAGGCTTTATGAGCTTTTCTTAGGCACCCAGAGTAAGGTACCACTCAGAAAGTAATATGAGAGGTTTTTTGTTTAAGTATGCAAAACAAAACAAAAAAAGCACCAGATTTCCTCCACGGGGTTCACAGAATTGTAGGGGTTGGAAAGGACCTCTAGAGATCATCGAGACCAACCCCCCTGCCAAA